GCTCGGAGTGATGCTCCTGCAAATAATCACATCTCGGCCGCCGATCGGACTGGCGCACGTCGTGGAGAGGGCGATCGAGAAGGGGAAATTTGAGGAGATGCTGGATCCGGATGTGAAGGACTGGCCGGTTGAGGAAGCTCTAAAATTCGCGAAACTGTCGATTCAGTGCGCGGAGATGAGGAAGAGGGATCGGCCGGATCTTGGGAAGGTGGTGCTGCCGGAGCTTAATCGATTGAGAACGATCGCGGAAGAGAGCATGGGAATCCGGCCGTTCAACTGTAGTGCGTCGGATTCGTCATCGCCATCTACAAGCCAGGCTTCATCTTCTCAAGTAAGTCCTGTTGCCGCCATTACTGTTCGAATCTTGCACCAAATTTCAAATTTCAAATTTCAAAAACTATAAAATAAACTTTTATAATATATATATACTATCTTAGTTTTCAATTTTGAAATTAAAGCTTCCAAGAACTATTAGAATTTGGAAAAAATGTTGAAAATTCAATACGAAATATTTAAAGTTGAGTTAATTTTTAAAGTAGCAAGAGTAACCTTATCATTTATCCTTTTTTTAAATTAAGTATTTGTTTGTGAGTCATTCGGTTTATTGTTGATTTAGTGAAGATTGACAATACTTATTTTCGAACAAAACTATTCTCGAATTCTGTGATCTAAATATTAGAAATTATGAAAACAACATTGGTATATTTCAGTATTTTCATATCTTTGAAATTTAAATGGCATAATTTCTTAATAAAAAAACTTTAATAACTATATTATATCATGTTATAAATTCTTTTCATTTTTGTTAAAATTAAAAAAATGTAAAATATATAATTGTGTGAAATAATAATTATACCAAATTTATAACATATACATTAATAAATCAATTAATATTATTTTAGATTTAATTAAATATTTAGTTGGTAACTATTACAAATATACAACTAAACACGAACCATTTTTAAAACTGAAATTCAATTTTTAAATCTGCTGTCAAACACGTAAAAACACATAAAAGAATTCCATTTTCAAGCACACCCTTAAAGATGTATTGGATACAAATATTTCGAGTTAAAGTTAATTTTTAAAGTAGTAACCTTATAATTTAACATTTAAAAAAAACTAATATTATTTATGATAATGAATCTTATTACAACAGGAAGCCATAAGTTTACATCAAGTGCATTGTGGATCATGGGTTGACAGCCCAAACAGCCAATCAGGAAGCAGCACGTCATCGCTTTCAGGCAGACGGCCTTACTGGCTGGATTAAGAACTCTCCTCTTTTCCAACACCATGAACAAAAAATAATAATAATAATAATAGCAAATGTAAATCAATGATTTTTAATTATCGTGCCTCCATTGTTGAGAGGCAATTTGATCACTTTTTTCCCCTTTTTCTGTTTTCAAATTTTTGAGAAACATGTGTAAATGATATTATTCTAATATATTGTTTCTCATTTTTATAAGCGTTCTTAGAATTAAAAATAAGAAAAAAAAAACTGTTATCAGAATTATATACAAATTTCGGAGATATAGAAGACTTTTGATTTCTTGTTTACTATTTTTAGTTGTAGCTTTTTTTTTTAATGTAAATAAATTCTTTTATCATTTTTTTTGGGATTAAAAACAGTTTTGATCCATGTATTTGAACTTTAATTTGTAACGATCTAATTCTTGCATTTTTAATTGGTAATAATTTAGTCCATGAACTTTAAGATATAATAATTTAGTTCCTGTAGGTTAAAAGTTGTTGATAAATTGATGAGAGACCAAATATGTTTATAAATTATAAATATGAAATGGTTATGTGATAAAAATGGACACCTAATTTTTATGCTAAAAATTTAAATTATAGAAAATAAATTGTTACGTACTCGAGTTCATAAGTTAAATTGTTACTAATTTGAGAGTAGATAAACTAAATCGTTAATTCAATAAAAGTATTTTCTAAACATTTTTTTGCAAGTAACATATATATATCTATATATTGACATAATGAATGGGATTATTTTATATTTTTATTTTTGCAATATGAGGTATGATATTTAATGTGTTTAGGTTTTTCTATCAATTTATATAGGTCGCAAGCTTGCTCCTAAACGCAAATAATAGATTTGTAGATGACATACTTTTAGGGTTGAATTTTTACTACAGAAACATGTGTCGGTAGTCCTGTTTGACCACGTTTTTGACCAATTTTCCATCATTATTTGCCAAAAAGGACCACATATTCTTAAAGTAGAACATACATAGATTATTTCTATTTCCCACATGTCTAAAACCGTGAGTCCAAGTACAAGTGAGGTGGTTAGGTTAATCTCAACCCTTTTCCACCTAAAATGGAGGGGAGTTTCAACCAACCTATGGTGCTATAAAAGGAAGTCATCCATCCCTCAGCAAATCGTCCCTTCCAAGCTTCATTTCATCTTCTTTTAGATCTCTCTAGTTGTAGAACACGTTTTTAGGGTTTATGTTCATGTTTTAGTTGTTCATTTCTTTGTTTTTCACGCTTTTACCTTTCGCAGTGCTTTTAATTCAGTTTCTTACTTCCGTTCTTTGTTCATTCTGTTTTTTTAAAGTTCTTTATCGAGTTTCAACTCCCCTCATGCTCGAGAGAGAAGAGGGTCAAGCTAGAACTCTTTGTACGACTTATTTATTCATTTAAATTCAATGAAAAAGACTTTATTTATGTTTTCGTGCATTTACTTTCATTTAATTATGTTCTAAATTAGTTATCAACCTCCTTGTGGAATGCCTTAGTGAAATGATTTGATTTTCAACACACTCGGGATTTTTGCCGTCTGACACTTTTTTGGGTTGGTTTCTAAAAACTTCTCTTTACGTTTTTTTCCATTTAGCCAGTGGGAACTTGATTTATACACCAAAGTTCAACCTTGGGAAAGGTGAGTTAGGTAAAATAATAGGAAACCAATATGGGATGTGACTTAGGAATAAACGCATAAAATATGGTCCTAGGCATAGGCCCTTTGACCCATAATGCAAATGAGTTAGTAGATATTCTCTAAGATTGTAATAGGAATATGATTGTAGATTACCCTAGCCTCTGCAGCAACTAAAAGCGGTAGTGAAAGAGTAGAACTCAAATCCCAAGAAAAGTCAGGAATTGCGCCTGGTGCATTTTCCCAACATAGTATGTTTTCCATGTTTTGCATCAAAACTAAAGTAGGAGACCATGAGGTTGAGTTTAATTAAATTGCTTGTTAGTTAAAACCCCAAACGACAACATTTCATCACATTTTTCTTCCTAAATCACAATTGCACCATTTCACTGTATTACTTGATTTTAATCTCAGCAAGTTTTTGACATGCAACAAATTGATAGAATTAGAAAATGATTTATAAAATTAAAACAAAAACAGTTATATAATATATAACAACTTGGCTAAATCATTATTAAAAAAATAGTTGGTTAAATTATCAAACTGGTCTATGATTTGAATTTAATTTTAATTGGTCCATGGGATTTGTAAAGTTTTAATTTGATTCTTATAGTTTAATTTTAATTTGATTCCTATAATTTTAAAGTTTCAAATTCTTTCTTATATGACTTGGTAAAATCTCACAAATTGTCTTTGTTATCACAAGTCATTACTATATTGAATATGTGATTTTTTTTTTATTTAGATGACAATAAGTTGGTTTTTTATTTGACTTGTTGTATTAAGGGTCGGTAAAAAATAATATGAAATGAGAGGATTGTCAAATCAATACTAAACGGTTTAGAAATAATTGTCAAATTGAGCATAGCTCAGTAGTAATGAACATATCTCAAATCGAGAGGTCGTGAGTTAAATCTACACCCACATGTTGTACTAACAAAAAAAAAATGTATAGAAATAATTTGTGATGTTTAACTAATACTTAGAGAAATTAAATTGGAAGTTTTAAACTATATAGATTAAGATTAAAACAAAGTCCAACTCGATAAAGATCAATCAATATCTATTCAATAAAGACAAATTTTTTTATATTAAATTATATCATATTCTAATTTTTTGGACATTTAATTATTTGACTTATAACTAAATTTATTTAGCTTTATTTTTTTATTTTTTAGACAAGTTGAACTAAATGTCAAGAGGAAAGTACAAATAAGAGCTTGTTGTTAGAGAACAATTTAATAATGAAGTGAGATGGTTCCAATGTTGAAAAAAATAATATGATAATAAAAAATGATGTCACTCTATATTTTTATTTGTTGGAAAATATTTTCTTTGAAGTACATGTAAAGATATAAATTCGAACTCACAACATTTTGATTGAATATAGGTGCCTTGGGTGTGTTAAAATATAATTAAGAGTCTTGCAAATCCTTCCATTTATCCCGTGAGTGTAATTTTTATAAGGTAAAATAACAAACTGAAGTATTTATTCCATCTCAAACTAACTAACAAAAGTGGTAAAATATAAGTATTTTTGTCATGTAAATTAAAAATTTGTCATGTATAACAACAATCTATGAATTTTTATTTTTTTTTAACAAACAAAATATAGAAAAAATAAAATTAGAACAGTAAAGTTGCTTCTCATGGGAAGAAATATCATATGCAAAGTTCGAAAAGTCCAAAGAAGATCAATTTATGCTCACAAAGGTGAAGACCCACTTTCAATTCGATGGTGATGTCCTCGTTCATAACAATGGCTTATGCTGACTCTAGTGGTGAAATTGCATGAATTTTTAGCATGTGAACCACAAATTATTACTCTGCTACTAATATTTCCATAAAGAAACGGGGATTTGGTAAAACTATAAGAATGAAATAAAAAGAAATCCAAGTATACTCATAATGAATTACCATCTCTAAGGTCGATAATGCTCTCATAATCGTCCTAAATAAAAACTTTTAATCAAAACGAATACAAAACAACAAGAATCAAATTAAAACTTTTAAAATCGCGAGTACCAGAAATGTAACATATTTTTAAATTAAGTATAATTGATTCCTTATATTCATCATTTACATATTACAACTCATGATATTATATTAAAAAATAAAAAATTTCCATATCTTTAGAATAGTGGTGGTGGTTTAACAACAACAAATTGGAATCAACGGAAAAGATAATTCATGTCTTTATCTAATTTGTTATTGTCCTTTCCCTTAATTTATTCCATAAAAATAAAAAACACACAAAAAAATATGAATCAACAAATTTAAATATTCGAGAGAGAGAGAGAGAGAACTGGGGAATATTCGTTGGCGCCATTGACTCCGATTTCGCTGAAGCTCGTCTTGGATCGTTGCAGTTTCTGTTTCATTTTCCAATCTTTCCTTCCTTCTTCAAATCTCTATAAATATGGAGGATCGTCGCCGGAAAAAGTTCGGTAGCGGTGGAAAACCCTAGGCCTTTCCGAGTTCCGATTTCGGAAATTGAAAATGGCCAGAAATGTTCTTGAAATGTCCATCAATGGCGAGGAGCCGCCGCGAGCGTACGTAGTGGAAGACTGTGCGTTCGGCGGCGCCGTCGACTGTGACTCGTCGGCGGGCGAAATTCCGGTCATCGACGTCGGCGTGTTTCTGCCGTCTTCGGCGGCGCCGGAGGCAGAGGTTTTAGACTCCGAATTGAGGAAACTCAGATCTGCTCTCGCAAAACACGGATGCTTTCAGGTTTATAAATTTAATTCCCTTCCATATTTTTCAAGTTTATTCATATTTTAATTTACAATTTTTTTCTCTCTCTCTCTCTCTCTCTTTTTTTTTTTCAAGTTTATTTATGTGATAACCGGTTTTCGTATTTAGTTTGATAATGTTTCTGGTTTCTCTAATAAACTTGATGGAAATTTTGTAAGCAACACAGCTAAGTTTTTTTTCTTTTTTTCTTTTTTTGTTATTTGTGTTTTCAATCTTTTTCTAAAACAAAAATAAAATGATCCGTTTGTCATTTTTAGCTTATAAAAAAATAATAATAATAATAAATATAACATAAAAAAATTTATCTATTTAATTTGAGATTTTAATTTTCACATAAAATTTTTACTTTTTTGTTTTTTAATTTAAAATTTTAGAGATTACGAAACAACTCGTCAAAATCAAAACAAATTAGATCAAGATGATCTAACTGATTACTTTTTTTATATATATAATATGTGAGAGTTGAGGATTTGAACTCACGACCTCTCAATCATACATATACGTCAATTATTGCCGAATTGAACTAAGTTCATATTGATGATTAGTACGTTTTTTTTAGTAATTAGGGGATTAAAATAGATATTTTAGAAGTTTAGAAACAATTGACCCATTCTAAAAAGTTGTGTTTGTTTCTTAGGCAATTGGACATGGAGTTTCAAGCTCACTTATTGACAAAATTCGTGAAGTTGGAAGAGAATTCTTTGAATTGGCAGAAGAAGAGAAAGCAAAGTATTGTCCATCAGGAGAGCATAAATTCGAAGGGTATGGAAATGATATAGTGGTTTCAGAGAAGCAAGTTCTTGATTGGAACTATCGTCTCTTCCTTCGAGTTCTCCCACATGACTCCATAAACCTCAATTTCTGGCCTCCAACTCCGAATGATTTTAGGTAATATTTTCATCCCTCGACTTCCAATTTTGGTTCGTTTTGGTCTATAAACTTTCGACTTTTGTTCATTTTAGTTCTCGTATTTTAAAAGTATATTTGTTCTGGTCCGTTCATTTTTATTTTTGTCTTTATTTCTTTCGATCATGAAATATTTCAGCATGGCACCTTATTCCCTCAATTTCTTGAAATGACGTATGGTAGGTTGTTAGATGTTGATTTTTCCAAAGGAGATTTGAAACTAAACGGTGCTGCAAGTATAAAAGTTAAAGTACTAAAATATGATTTAAACCGGCTCATAATTGCTTCTCCTTTTGTCTTGCTACCATGTTAAATTCATGACATTACTTTTTGCAGAGAAACCCTACACGAATATGTAAATAACATAAAGTTTGTGATGGAAGTTCTATACAAGGCGATAGCGAAGTCGCTGAACATCGAAGAAGACAGTTTCTTGAGCCAGTTCGGGGACCGATCGCCGATGAACGCGAGGTTTAACTTCTATCCACCGTGTTCAAGACCAGATTTGGTTCTTGGAGTAAAAGCTCATACAGATGGATCAGGCCTCACAGTTTTGTTGCAAGACAAAGAAATGGAAGGCCTTCAAGTTTTTGTAGATGAGAAATGGGTAAAAGTCCCTGTGCTTCCTCATGCTCTAGTTGTCAATGTTGGTGACCAATTGCAGGTAAAGAAAACTCTCGCTCTCTATTGAATTCTTTTTCGTCTTTTAGAGTGGAAGTTTGATTCTCCGATCTGTAAATTTAGTCCAGAATTTTGAATTTTATCTATCATGTGTTTTTTTTTTCTAAAACAAAGTTCTTACCCATCACAAAAATGTTAAAATTTATGAAAAATTCCATGCACAAAACAGAAAATCGGAAACGAAACAAGAAAATGAAACGAACATTAAGAACAAAATCATATAATTAAGTAGCATTTTTCGAGGCCACACTATCTTAACCATCACTTCTGGATTTGATTCGACTCGATTCGTGATTGTGTTTGAACATGAACTTGAAGATTATGAGCAATGGAATATTGAAGAGCCCATTGCATAGAGCAGTGACAAACTCAGAAAGGATGAGGATTTCATTGGCGATGTTTCACATTCCTGAGTTAGAGAGAGAGATTGGGCCATTGGATGGTTTGGTGGACGAAGAAACACCAAAGAAATACAAAACCATCAAGAACTATGGAGCTATCAACTATGAGTGCTATCAAAAAGGGATTGTACCACTTGACACTCTTAAAATCTAAGTTTAATATACCATTTTAGTTTACGTGACTTTTATCAATGTATTTATAATTGTTGTTCATCTTTAGTTCATATACTTTCGCAACAATTATTTTGGACTCTGTACTTTTATAAAGTTATCATTTTGATTCATTCGTTTTTATTTTTATCTCATTTCATTTTATCATAATTTTAACATGACATTTGATTCGCTGAATTTCTTAAAATGTAGTCATAGATTTGTATTAAAATATTTTAATTTCTTTCACAAAATTTTTTGAAAATATAGTCAAAGTATAGAGACTAAAATAAATTAGAGCTAAATTATGTCTAAGTAAACTAACTCATTGTGCTGATTTATCGTCTCCGAGTCAATGATCCCATGCCTTGAAATTTTATTATCTCGGCTCCTTGATGCGCTCTCCTTGCCCTCTATTTTCGAGTCTCGCAACGTTTTCTCTCTAGAAATCTTCTAAAACTTCCTCAAGCAACGACTAGAACCCTGTTTTTATAAGTGAGAACGCATAAGCATCACGATGCTATTAGTGAGTGTCATGTCGTTGTACAAAAAATTGACAAAAACTCAAATTTCATATCATCATACAACATTACATGACGTGTATACTTCTTAGTCTCATGCTCTTTTCTACCCGCTTCAAGTACCACATGGCGCCATAAGATGCACCTTGGCATTGTTCTCTCGAGTATTGGACTCATTGTTTGTTATGTACTCTTTCTCATTCATTTTAACCCTAATTTTTATCTCAGTTATTCTAATAATTAATTCCCTTACAAGTTATAATACAAAAACTAACCAATAATCTAATTATAATTCTTAGAAAATATAACTCACAGGGTATGTTTGTCACCTGTAATAGTTCCCTAAATTTTGAATCCCTGACCTTTCAATTCCTAAACTTTAAATTGTGAATAATAAATATTTGACTTATGAAACTCTTTTAAATTTAGAGATCCTTTAGATATATTTGTTAAAGTTTAGAGATTTATACAAGTTAAAACAATTATCAAATATAACTATAAATTCTAAAAGTTAAACTCGTGGTTAACCTTAACATATCTTAACTAAATCAAGATTGTGAATTCGAATTCTCATCGTGATATTGTATCTAGAAAAACAAAGAATAAACTCGTGATTTAACTTATAATTTAACCCATATATATATATTTTTGCTCTTAAAACAATGGGATAAAAAGGGATTCTCAATTTCTCATGGGTTACGGTGCCGAATAAAAGTTCCCAATCGGAGTGATTCGTAAATAATTTCCACCACCGCGCATAAAATAAAGCTGCTTTCAGTTCAAGGTAAGTACCCATTTCACAAAGAAAGAAGCTTAATCTGCCATTTCAATGCTCGTCTCCTCTTCCCATTCTTATTTTCCCACAAATTTCTGAATCGCCTTCTGGGTATACGCCCCACAATTCTTCTCACAATTTAAGCTGCTTAAAATCTTTGATTCCGACCCCGGAAAGGGTTTTCGGTGTTCAATTTCCCGTCTCAGGTTTAGTTTCTTTGGGGAACTTTGATTGGTTTTGTGGGATTGTTCGTTTTGGTGTTTCTTACCGTTTATTTTTGCTTTGTGGTAGTTCTGTCGCTGTTGGAAGTGAATCGAATAAGTGAAGATATGGACTCGTCGTCTACAGAGGCCGTTACGGTAATGCAGGTATAATGTGTAGGCTTGACCTTAAATGTATTTTGCTGTACATGTACGTTATATATATCTACTCATTGATTCGTTTTGAGTCTATAGTTGCGAGGAGCAAGAGAGGAAGAAAGGTGGTGAGAGGGGATCTATGTTATAGGGGCTGCATGTTTCACTTTTATATGAATAATTCTAGTTTGATCATTGGAGCTAATTTTTATCTACTTATTACTTTGATTGAAAACGACGCCTTTAATAAGGAAAATGATAGAACAAGGAGGCCATAAAAAGTGGGAATCCAAGTCCCCAACAAACCAAACACCAAAAAAGATTCACTTACTAGAAAACCCTTGTAAAGTAGAACAAAATCTTAACCATCATGGGATGGCCCAAGTGGTCAATAAGGGCCCATGTAAATAGTACTTGTATTTTTCCTGATGAATTCACACAAATGCATGTCGAGGACTTTTGGTGATATTAGGGAAAAGATCTTCTAGGCCGCCCATCGACTATCACCATTATCATAAAGTTGTGTAGGTGTAGCTTGGGAATGAAACACCACCAATAATATGTAATTTCTATAGTGCGGATATTTGCAGATGAAGATTTTGCCTATTATGATCAGAAGCAATGCATTATTTTGTCATCTCAATATCTATTCCATTCAGTATCTTGTCATGTCAATAGCGATGGGTTTTTTGAGAGTTGTGGCCTTTGGGTTGAGAATCAATATGGAGAAATATGCAGTTCTTTGAATTAATATTCCTTTTGATAGGGTTAAAGAGGTGTCTCAAGCAAGGGGTTCAGCCGTAGGTGAACTTCCTGTTTCATATTTAGAAGTGTCTTTTGGTGGTAATCAAGGGGGTAAAGCTTTGGAAACCATTAGAGGAAAGGGTGCCTAAGAATACAGTTTTGGAAACTATTTGAGGAAAGAATGCTTAAGGAGGCAGGAAAGTGGAGTAATTTTGGCTCATCTGTAGGAGGTAGGTTAACCTTAAAACCATGTTGAACATTCTAACCTACCGATTTATATGATGATAGTTTTTCCCTTGTCAAGAAAGGCCATTCTTAAGCTTGAGAGGTAGACGTTTTTTTTTATGGAAAGGAAGCACAGGTGGCAAACTGACCGTGCGGTGAATTGGAGAACTTCTTTGCTGCCAGTTGAAATTGGTGGTTTGGGTGTAGACAATATAATGGCGAGGATTGAAACTTTTTTTTAGTACAACATGTGGGGGTGGGGATCGAACTCACAACCTGGTTGGAGATATATGTCTATTACCGCTGAGCTATGCGCGCTTTGGCTTGAGGATTAAACTTTACTCACTAAATGACCTTTTATGTTTACAAGAGAATAATGGGAATTGGGGTGTCAAATTAGCATGAGCATCTATTTGGTGGTTTACCAAGATTAGCAAAATAGGTTTTTACCAAAGTCATTGGTGGTGAAGTATTGCAAAGTTGTTTTAGATGGTATGAAATTACAAAAAGGAAAAAAAAAAAAAGGGAGAAATACCAACCCTCAAGCTAATAAACTGATAAAAAATTATTCTAATGAGAACAAAGAGAGTTCAGACTATATGAATTGAAAGGGGTATAAACTTTACACCAAGAGAGAGCTACAAAATAACATAGTAAAAGAAAACCACAAAAGGTTTTTCCTTATTGTTGAAAAATTCGTTGTTTTTCTCAAGCCAATGTAGCCAAAAGGAGGCCTTGATAAATTTAAACTGCATGACCTTTCCATCAGTTGTGAAAGGATGGCCTTCAAGTAATGTTTTGGAGAGCCATATAGGAACCAAAATTGTGAAGGAAGAGGCACCAAAGATTTCCTGCGAAGGAATAAGTATTGAGAAAGAAATAGCTTTGGGTTTTTATTTTATTATTATTATTAATTTTTTTTTTTTGCGCATCTAGTACTAATCCAACTAGTGGGAAGTCTCTTTTGAATGATATCATGAGTGCTAATTCAACTGTGAGCAATTTCCAAAAAATAATTCGACTTTCTTTGGATATTTTGAGAACTTACCATACCAAACTTAGGAGAAAAGAGAGATGTTTCCAAGCTTCCTTTGAGTCGAGTCAACCTATTGAGTCAAGTCAACAATCCTATACAACTATCTTGTTGATCTTTGAAGGAGAAGGAAGAGAACGTTAAGTAGGGAGAGGCCCATTATGAAACTTTATCATCATAAAGTTATTTTGGAGGCTACGGCCCAAATTAGTAGAGTTTCCAGTGTCTTCCATAGTAGGGAATTTTGGCTGGTCAAAGCATAGAGATTTGGGAAAGCCAATGCAAAAGGAGCCTCACAAATCCATAAATCTTCCCAAAACATGGTTACAGTACAGATGATGATGGTTCTATTTATGAAGAGACCCTCGTAACTTGTAACTGACTTTCCAAGGCCCCCGTAAGAGTGCAGAGAGAAAGAATGTAGCGAAAAATTGTGATGTGTGGCACCATAGTTACTTTCCTTTATAAGGAATTAGCCATATGATCCCTCCAACAATTTATCTGTAAAGTCTATGATCAAGGCTATTACAGCTAATCATGATACCCAATCCTTCTCCTCCTATGATGAAATTTGGAGAGAAAATTATTCGAGAAGAGTCAATTTTTTTTTGCTGGGAACTCAGCCACAGAGCCATAAATACTCAAGACTTCATCCAACGAAGACTTCCAATGCTTGCCATATCCCCAAATTGGTGTATTATGTGTGGGAAAAGAGCTGAGACCCAAGATCACCTTTTTGTATCTTGAGAATTTGCAAGCAGATTCTTGAGGTTTATTGTAGAAGCTTTTGGTTGGCAGGCTCCTATTCCTGTGGACATCATTTATATTTTACAAGCTCTTTTGGGGACACCCCTTTGAAAAGGACAAGAAGATTTTGGTCTCTCTTCATTAGGTCTTTCATTTGGTGTCTTTGGAGGGAAAGAAATAACATAACATTCAACGACAAATTCCAGCCTTTCAACAACTTTTTTAACGGTGTTTTGGTTTTGACATTAAGCTGGTGTAAATGTTACTTTACCTCTTTTTCAAATTATAGCTTGAATGATCTTTTGATGAGTTGGAAGGTCTTTTTGTAGTCTCATTCCTTGGATTCTTCTCTTTTTGTATATTTCATCACATCAATGAAGTACTACTTTCTCACGTAATAAAAAAAAATGAAGTACTACTTTCTCATTAGAAATAGAAGAATTCTCATATTCTTTATTTTGAGCTCACATTTTATTTGTTCCAAATTAACTGTCATGGCAGGAAATACTTTTGGAATTTCGTGCAGGAAAAATGTGTTTTGAAGGAAAAAGGGTTGTACCTGATACACGTAAAGGACTTGTTCGTATTGGAAGGGTAAGTTTAATATTTTACATATTTACATATTTCTATTTTTTGTGGAATTGATTCCTTTTTATGAGACTCCCGCATTGGTTGAAGGCAAACTTAAGATATACAATGGCGCCAGAACCAAATTTTTAGTGGATATATGGGAAGGGACGAAGTGAAGAAGGAAGATGGGGCAATTGCCCCCTCTGGGTTTGTCTTAAAGTAAAAAAGTTATATAAAAAAGTTAAAGCTTTTAAATATATATTTTCTCTATTTTACCCCTTTAGATTTTCAGAAATAAACAATTATGTGTAAAAGTCAGAATGTAAAATTTTGCCCATTTTTGTGAAATTTTTTTACTCCATTAGGTTGGTCATATGTTGGTTGTTGACTAGTTGGTTGATCCTTTTTTCTAAGTACAGTAATTGTGGGGTGGTGGGGATCAAACCATCAATGTTTGTGATGGTAATAGGTGCTGCCTTATTGACAGAGGGATGCTCGGATTGGCTAGTTGGTTGATCTATATTGGTGTCTTATTTAACTTGATTACCATCCTCTCATGACCATTGGATCATTATCACTAGCATCTTTGATAAGAGAAAATGGAATCAATAGTTTAAACCTGATCATTAGGAAAAGCCCCAGCGATGAATATCCCATCTATTATGTTGATGGGGTCCTTGCACCCCATTAAATTGGGCATCATAATTTGGAGCCGAAAAGTGATGTGAGTTTCTTTGTACCCCCTAGAGTTCCCCTTGAGAGGAATTCTTTTTGGCACTCTATCATTTCTAGTCTTTATGGTGAGGAAAAGGGGGCTGGTTTATATGCAAACACCATAAGCTTGAAGCCTTAAATCATTGGACATTTGTGGTTCAATATAGAAAGATCCAAGAAGAATCCTCCCTCATCAGAACTGGCGATGGGGACAGTATCAATTTTTGGCGTCAACATCAAGGAGACAATCCTGAATTTTCCAGCTCTATAATAACAAAGAAGTTACTTTAAAGGCGGAAGGCCAAGCAAAAGTCCTTTGGTCGAACGTGATTGTGGGTCTACTTTGGAGAGGTGTGGCACGAAAGAAACAAAAGAACTTTCCAAGATAGAGACACGGAGAGTGCTACTTTTTGGGATTTTGTAAAAATTTTGCCTCTTCTTAGTCATCATCAAAAGTTACCTATGCTCATCATATATATATATAATCGAGAAAAAATCGTTCTTTCATTGAGAAGAATGAAAGAATACAAAAGGGGCAACTATAGGGCCAACAAAAACCCAAGAAAGATGGGTTTGCAAAGCACAGCTCAAAAAGAACCTAATCTAACAAAACATAAAAAGGACTCTAATCCAAAAGAATAAGACTCACTTAACGAATAGTTACAAAAGTCTCTTGAAATAGACACTGAAAGTGAGACATTAAATCTAGCAAGGGACCCAACCTCATACTAAAACCTCTTCACTACCCTAAAGATTCTATTGTTCCTCTCAAGCTAGATACACCATAAAACTGCAAAAAGCCCGCCCTCCCCTCCCTTTTAACGCATTTTTTGATAGAGTTATTGTGTTAGCTCTTGGCTGGTTTTCATATTTTTATTTCCCTTTTAATAGCTACAATCTCAAGGATCTTGGAAGGCCTTTTTGTAATCCAGCCTTTGGGTCCCTTTTGTATATTGCATCTCATCAATCAAATTATTATTTCTTACCCCCCCCAAAAAAAAAAAAACTGCAAAAAGTGAGCCCTCTAGAGAATACTATAATTCTCTCTAATGTGTGGATGAAACAGAATCTCCTCCATCGTTAAATAAAGATCCTTGTACTGGGCCAAATAGACCCCAAAACCTCAAGAAAACAGTCTCTAAGGGAGCAAGTGAACCGACAATTCCAAAAATATGCTCTTCACTTAGCAATATGGAGGGTATTGGTCATCACCAGTGCCACTATCCTTTTCCTCTTCCCTTTCGTATTTGCTAAAAGTTACTTTATTAAAATTTTCCTAAGAGAACTTCATTCTTCTTCATATATCCCCAGTGTTGAACCCCCTTACTCATCATTAAAAACACCTGCTGATGGGAATGATTCATTTCCTCCAAGTTTGGCCTCTTTTTCAAGAACTTTGCTTGTGTCTTCTAATTATCTTTGTAGACTTCCATGAGATAGAAAAAAAAACAAAGCATGAAATGGCATACTAGAAAGAACCAAATATATCGAAGTCAACCGGCAACCCTACCTCCATTTTTTTTTATAAGAAACCGAGCTTTTATTTAAAGGCGTATAAAAAAAATGACAATAAATAAACAGCTCAACAAAAAGAAGCCAAGCCTACAAAAAGGGGCTACAATCGAATCCACAATAATAACACCTCACAGATAATTACAAAACTCTTTTATAATCGAGGCCTATGAGGAAGGATTAAATCTAATAAGCTCAAAGGTAGCTTTCCCTGACCTCTCTAACCGTTAACCTCTCTAACCCTCTGAAAACTCTATTATTTCTCTCAACCCTATATTTGTTGTCACCGACAGTTGAACCTTTATTTATTTATTTGGTTGTTGTATTTCTGTGTTTTTTATTTTCCCTCTTGGTTTATACTTTGCTTGGTTTGCATTTTTCTATACTTCAAGAAAGCTGGTTTTCCCTCTAAAGAAAAAAGGAAGAAAGAAAGGGGGAGGGGAGGTTTATCCTTTGTTTTGGTTTGCCTTTTTCTATACTTCATGAAAGCTGGTTATCTCTTTAAAGAAAAAAGTAAGAAAGAAAGGGGGAGGGGGGGTATCCTTGTATGTTTCTGAAATTTTCTTTCCTCTGTTGTTGTTAAATATATTTATTTGTTTCCCCTTGTTATGTATGTGTAGATCTGTTAGGGTCATGCTTTCTAGTTGAACCTAATTCTTTGTCAGATAAAACTAACGTTTCTGATTGAACCTCGTGTTATCTTTTCTATGTCAGGGTGAGGAGGGATTGCTGCACTTTCAATGGCTTGATCGGACACAAAATGTCATCGAAGATGTATCCTGATTATTGTTGTGTCAATTGTCAATTCTTTGTTTCTTGGTCAATGAATATACCTTTCAAAGATCTTATAGACTATTTGATTCACTTGACATTTTAAAGCTCAATCCCACTAGAAAATGGACAAAGGATAAAGATGAGTTGAAAAGATTCATATCTCAGAGCATACATTAATATAAGTCCAGGACCTACATTTTAAGCCCTAATGAAGAGCAATTTTTCTTTTTGTTCCCCCTGTTTAATAATACTTCATCGCGAAATATTTTTTAATATCCTAGTTGAAATGCAGTAAAAAGACAATTAACTAAGCTCCCATAATGAAAACAAACCTTCTGTTAATGGAAATAGATATTCGGTTGTGACTCTCTCCAAGCAGTGGAAATAATTTTAATTTTAATATCATATTTTTTAAAATTTTTGGTGTGTCTTTTCTTATTGAGTGGTCCATACTTTCTGTTGCATGGATGGCTTTTGTTTCATGTTGATTGCATGTTCTCTCTTTATTAGTATATTCATTAAAGTTGATGTGTCATAGTAATAAGACCATATTCACTATGTTGTTGCATCGGAGTCTTCTCTTTTCTGTAGATGACTTCTTTCTGCCATTACCATTTTATTGGCTAGATGTTTTTGATTTCCTTAACACAAGGTATCAAAGGATCAGATTGTTTTTCCTGATGAAGCTGTTTTTGAGAAGGTGTGTTATACTCACTCTCTCTCTCTCTCTAAACAAAAAGGAAAAAGGAAAAAAGAAGCACTTATATTGAAAAAATAGAAAGAACTATAAAGTGGGAGAAGGGGGGAACTAGGAGTGCAATCCTATCTAAAGAAGGTAAGGATATTAGAAAGAATCAAGCAGTAACTGAAAAGGAAGAAAATTACCATAACTTTCTGTAATCAGATGCTCAGAAAGGTACATTAAAACACATGTTTCCAAGCTCCCCTTCCGTGTCTCTAGTCTCTTCAAAGACTTCCCACGAGACTACTATAATGAAATTTGTCCTAATAATCCTAAATTTTGTCCCTAAAATTTATACTGAAAAGTTCGAACAACTAATCTCCCACTTCCATGGGTGCAACTCAATAAAGGTCAAAAGTCTTTCATTGTTTCTTCCAAATGCTGTGGGAGAAGTAGAATTGTATAGACAGCTGATCGACATTTTTCCACTCTTCTATACAAACACACATCCATTGAATGAACAAGGTGGGGTATCTTTGAACCCACTTGTTAATTAGCATTGATCATTGAATTTCTGAAGTACACAACCAAACAAAAAAAATCTCAACTTTTGGGGGGCTTTGGATTTCCAATCAGCAGACTAACTCAGGGGATAAGACATAGATGCTACCCTGTAATAAGTTTTCATTAGAATGATTTACCTGAAAGGTTTCTTAATGGTTGTGAGTTTCTGACTAGACAACCATAATGTCAAGTCATGCCTTGAGCAAAGTAGTCCAACCTCTCCCAGATTAGAATCAAGGGCCGTCTATCTCCAGCCCTCATTCATATTTCGTCTAGAACTCAAAGTTCTAAGATTATGATTAGCTTGAGTATGAGTGTGAATCTGAGAAAATTTGATGGATTAGTTACATTTCTCCCAATAGGAGAGATTTCGTAATTCATTTTGCTTTTGGGATTCAGCCTTTGCATGTTTCATTGTTACAATGAATTGTTTTGTTTATTATGAAAAGGGTTGGTGAGGAAGGGTGCTAGTTCAGGAAATAGAACTCCAATTACAGTGACTGCTTCCCCAACTTTAGTACTCCAACCATTGGTAATGACAGAGTGCCACATTAATGCTTGCTTAAATTATGGGACTAAATTTTTATTATTAAACTGGCATTTCGGAGGTGTTTGTAGATGTCTCGCATATATATGTATGTTCGTATGATGACCTTAACGATCATGAAGTCAGTAAATGATTAAATAACTGAGCAGTAAATGGTAGTCGGGTGAATAAATAAGTAATCGCTTAACTAATTACAATATAAGGCGTCATTCAGTCACAGAGAGATCCAAAATCTCTCTTCCCCATCTTTATCCTAAAAATTAGCCAATTTCTCCAATTAGTGTTCCATTTGAAAAGTTGCAAAAGGAAATGGTTTCTTGTGAAGTATTTTGGGCTAGAAGAATGTTGGTGTTGCTCTCCTAGCGGAAAAAAGAGTTAGCTGAAGCATTCTCTATCTGCGCTTGCTTCTTCTATTTGAAGAAAGGAGATCCAAGAAGACTCATTTTAGGCTATCTCCTTGGTTCTTTAAAGGTCTCCTCCTCTTGATATTTTGGCATTTGAAATTCTCATTTGAGTTATCGGGATAGAAGAAGGTCAGATCTGTTTTCCGATTGACAAAAGGGGTAGGCACTGCAAGCCATAAGTTATTATTCTTGAAGTTGGTCTTTTGAGGTCTTATTTCATATTTGAAGGGACCAATTCACTCTCTTTTGGCACGGTTCATTGTCAAGTTTTTTGAAGATCATCAGCTTGTCTTAACTTGTTTCTTCTGACCTTTTCTTGTATTGGCTCTTTTATATGTATTTGTTCGTCTTTTTTACTGCTCTTTCACTTCTTCAGGAGTTTGTATCTTTGAACGATTTGTTCTTCCATACATCAATGAAAAGTTTGTATCTTGTTAAAAAAAGTATTCAATTTCTCTCTTCCAAATCTTCCTCTATTTCTATACAATTTTATTGTCAAAATGATCCTGGATTTCTCCTTCAAATCTAGACCATTAGCAACTTGGTAGAAAAAGTTTCCCATTCCCATAGGTGCATAAGTTCTTTTGCTTCATGCCACTAGGGTTCTTTTACGGGAGGTTTGTTTGGAGAAATAGGAGAATCTTTCAAGGAGCGGAGAGGGCTTGGCAAGATGTTGATGTGTTTAATTTTGTGGCT